TTTCGTCAATGGATATGAATCTGAACGTGTGTAAAATAAAACATTGTGGGATTGTGGACGTTACATTCAGCTATTTCAGCTTTATTAAACTAAGCCCAACTCATGATTTAGATCATTACGACTGTTGTATCTGATCTGCAACATTTGTGTTTAACTCCTAAAGAGATGAATATCAACACTCATCACCAGCTTTTATTATAAGACATTTAAACAGAAAGGTTAAAAGAAAACTCAATGCCTCTAAAATGAATCCAAAACAATCCACATTTCTCCAGACAAGTTCAAGATGATCATTATAGTCATTATCAGTTATATAGCTAAATATCTGTTGTAGTCCACAAAGATATAACATTTTATGAACCAATCATTGCTCACGTAGAAGTTTCATGAAAAAAAGAAAACCAACTCCATACACCGGATAAAAACAAAAACACAAAGTAAGGTTGAGCTGTACACTGGTTTGCAGTATGAAGGCTAGTTCGATTCATTCCCTGACATCTCCTCGGATCGATAGGTTTTGTACAGTTACACATTTGAATCTCATCATTTCTGTGTAGTTGGCTTCCTCTCAGACCCTCTTGGATGATATGGCCTCTCTTCCGTGTGTGATGGCGGAGAGCAAGATACACAGAGAACGAGCTACGACAGCAGTTCAAGTTAACACTGTCCGGCTGCCAAGTGTCGCTGGTCTGCCTGATCGTCCATTGTTCATCCTTGTTGTAGTAACGTTACAGTCTTCAAGATGGTGTCCTTCTTCTGACCCAGTTGTTCACATCCAGGACCCTTAGAGGCACTGCTCAGCTTCAATGAAACCTTCCTTTTCATGACCCCCGAGCTCGACCTCAGCGTAACTGGAGTCGCAGCCCTGGTTGCGGAACTTCATAGAGGGCCAGTAGTTGTTGGTGCGTCGCTACAAACGAGAGACAGCAGTTGACAAAGACAAGACGAGGTTGTTTTTGTGTTTAAGCACAAAAACAAATGGTTGACTGTACATGGTGTGTGAAACTGTGGTGTGTGGCGTCTTTGTTTCACCTGCATGAGGTAGAACGGTGGAGCAACTGTAGGGTGCGTGTTGATGTAGTAGACGGCCAGTAAGGTCAAAACTACAAGCAGAACCAGGGCTGCCACTACACCTGCTATTATGGCTGTGTTCTCTGTTATCCCCTCATGCTGTGGAGGAGTTGTCTGTAAATCTGAAAGGAAAGAAAGCAGAGATTGTTGGTATCTTGGAGGGAATATTTTTTCTCACTGACCATTAACCATCAAGACTAAAATAAATTATTCAGAATGGACATTTTCTGTAACTTTTTTTCCTGCCAGCGCCCGAGTTTAATGTTCAGAAAACGTCAAAGTGAGCCGATGTAAGTATTTCCGTCAAATTGGGCATGTTGTTGATGTTTGTAACGTGACGCTAAACTGAAGGAATACAAATATCTCAGAATGAAAACGAGTTGTTGACAAATATTTAGTGTTTTATGTTCAGTCCTGCCCACTTTATGGACTGTCAAAACTTCCATGAAATTTGTATTATACTTGACAGGCAGGCAGACTATTTCCGCACTTTGTGGGAACTCCAGCAACAATAGCTTGACTGTGTTTTCCCCTCACCAGTAGTAAACGAGTGGTCATCGAGCTGTGGTGAAGAATCTGTTGGACCAGGGGCGGAGTGGCTGAAGGAGCTCATCGTTCCCTCAGGTATCGGGTTGTAGTCCTCACATGTGCCTTTAGCCTGAGTGGAAACCCACAGACTCAAAACAATTAAAAACCATCCTCATTCCTCGGCTTTATGCATGGGAAGTGTGTCTCACCTCCTCAGTGCAGTTATATTCGAACCACTCTTGTCTATGCCGGTCGATACCATCAGAACATCTGAAACTCAGCAAGAACGTGAATGAGATGAGCTGTCCGAGGCTTCACTGCAACATCATTCTGGACTCTCATCTTACCGTTGAAGTGTGTTGCACCAGCCGCACTTGCTTGTCAAGTTGGATGTTAGGCAGAGATCGCAGGATGTGTGCTGAAGACAGGCTGGAGGAACGGAACACAGACGAGTTAGAGGGATGAATCATGAGGCTCGGCTGTCATACGAAGGTCAGTTTGTAAGAATACTTGCTGGGTAGAGGAGTGAACACAAAAGCAGATCCGTTGAAAATCTTCGTTGTGTTAATCTCCACACGATGATACTCGTAGATAGTGTACTGCTTCGGATCTTCAACAGAAATGTACAATGTTAGTATGTCCCCAAGCTTCATGTTTTAAGGGCTACTCTGATTTTTTTACAGAATATCCAGCATG